TCCCAGCACTTGGGCGGCAGATAGGCAGATCTGATTGAGGCCAGCCTGGTCTACATCAGGAGTTCCAGGCCAGCTGGAGCTACAGGGAGACCTTATCTATAAGTAAGTTAATAATAATCCAGGACTGGCAAGAGGGTAAAGGTGCTTGCTGCAGAAGCCTGGTGACTTGAGTTTGATCCTCAGAATCCATTTAAGAAAGGTGGAAGGAGAGAACTGAAGTTGTCCTCTAAAGTATATATACACATACAAAATTTTCTTGACTATTTCAAGGCTGGGAAGAGTGCTTAGTTGATAAAGTGCTTGCTGTGGACCCGAGTTTGATCCCTACCACCCACGTAAAAAGTGACACACTTGTAATCCCAGTGCTGAAGAGGAAGACACCAGCAGATCTTAGCCTAACCCCCAAATCCCAGGTCTCAATGAGAGATCTTGTCTTGAAAAGTAAAACCAGTGGAATGGAAAGCACCTGGAAAGGTGGATAAGTGGTTGAGAGGACTGCTGTTTCAAAGTTCAGCTCCCAGCACCCATGTCAGGCTGCTCACAACTACCTGTAACTCTAGCTCTAGGGGATCCAGTGCCCTCTTCCATTTTCTGGGCACCTGCATACACTCACAAATACACATAATTTGTTTAAAAAACTCAGGGACTGAAGATATGGCTCATTAGTTAAGACCACTGGCTTGCTCTTGCAGAGGACCCAGGTTCAGTTCCCAGCACCTACACAGCTAATACCTGTCCTTAATCCTAGTTCCAGGGGATCTGACACCCTCCTCTGGCCTTAGGGCACTGCATGCACGTGGTATATTTACATACATGCCAACAAAACATAAAATCAAGTTAAAAAACACAAGTCACCTGAGGAGGAATTTGAGGTTGACCTTTGGCCTCCACATGCACATGCACACACATAAATGCACACATATTCCAAGCTGGTCATGGTGGTATACACTTGTAATCCTAGCACTTGGGAGGTGGAGTCAGGAGGGTGAGTTTAAGGCCACCTATACATAGCAAGTTCAGGGCCAGCCTGGTCTCCAGAGACCCTGTCAAAAACATTCTTAAAATGACATCACTCACATGTTCCTATATCCCTGTAGTTCATAGATGGTAGTACATCAGGAAGGCAGGCCAAGTGGGACAACTTTATATTCCTTCAGTCTTGCTCAAAGGGAATATGAGACTAGCTCTGGAAAGCACTTTCTGGAAGCAGCTGATGGGCAGAAGCTAGCTCCTATAGATAGTCTTCTGGAGGAAAACAACCTGTAAGAAAGCCATCCCTTCACATTTTATGGGGGAAGCTGAAGACAAGACACAAGCTATAGCAAGTACCTACAATGAGAGGAAAAGGAAAAAATGAGTCAGCCTTAGGTGAATGACTGTGTGGTGGAGAGGTAAAAGTAATTTGAAAGACATGCCAGAAAAAAGTTCAATGAAGGTGGGCATAGTGGCATACGCCTTTAATCCCAGCATTTGGGAGGCAGAAGCAGGCAGATCTCTGTGACATGGAGGCTAGTCTGGTCTACATAGTGAGTTCATCTGGGGCTACAGGGAGACCTTGTCTCAAAAGAATAAAAGTTCAGTGTAAACACAGGATGGAGGCATAATATATATATAAAGGCAAGGACAATATTATTGAGGGCTTCCCAGAAGAGGTGATATGCCTGGGTTAGGCACTAAAAGGGCAGGAGAGGCATTCTATTTGTAATGTTGTATGGGCAAAGAGACAGTGTAGGAGTTCTGAGTTGAAGATTAGTTTCAAGAGAAGGGAAGGAGTAGACAGGTTTTTGAAAGATTTTATTTTTGTGCCTGTGTGTAGGCCACATGTGTGCAGGTTCCCTTGGAGGCCAGAAGAGGGCATTGGAGAAAGAGGGAGGGGGAGAGGAGAGGTGAGGGGAGGGGAGAGGGGAGAGGGGAGAGAGGAGGGAGAGATCGATTCACTGTATAGGCCTGGCTAACCCTGAGCTCATGGTGATCCAGGTGCCAGGATTAAAGGTGCATACTACCAAGCTGGGTCTTCATGTGAAACAACTTTGGTAGCCATAATTCTGCTAATGAGGAGCATGCAACAGACAGAAGATAGAACTGTGAGGCTTATTTGGGCATAAATGACTGGCCGGTTCCTATCTTATTGCTCCCAGCTACTTGGGGGGCTTAAAACAGGAGGATTGCAAGTTCGAGCCAGTCTAGGCTACCCTGTATGAAAACAACAAACGGATCATGATAGAAAAGTTTCGAAAGGCATTTTTATCCATCAGCTTGAGTTTTTTTTTTTTTCTTGATAGGATGAGACAGGGTGTTTTTAATGCCTTTGTAGCACTAGGGTCCTTGTGCAAGAAGCCTTTTCTAACACAGTTTGGTAAACATTTTTTTTTCTCAATGATTGTGCACAGTGATAGACCAAGGAATGGGGAAAAAGGCTCACCCCACCCCCCAGAAGGCAGGGGTAGGAACTTGAATTTGGAAGATATCTTTATGAACGTAACAACTTTACCTAGAAGCACCTCCACCTGCTTGTGATCTACAGGATTGAGGTTCAAGAATAGAATGTTCAAGAATATAAAAATAGCAAACATTATTTGTGTTTATGTAAGAGATCTCTTAGTTCCTATAGGAAAGTCAGTGTAAGAGAAAGTCAGGGGCTGTTAGTGGTCACCCATTGATTCAAAACATATCATGGCTGGGCGTGGTGGCACACGCCTTTAATTCCGGCATTTGGGAGGCAGAGGCAGGCGGATCTCTGTGAGTTCAAGGCCAGCCTGGTCTACATAGTGAGTTCCAGGACAGCTGGGGCTACAAGAGAGACCCTGTCTCAAAAAAAAAAAAAAAAAAACACACACACACACACACACACACATATCATAGACAAAATTGCATAGTCTCAAACTATGGAAATGAAGTTGTATCTACAATTTGAGTAGTGACAAATTCTTGCAGAAGTTCCTAGCCAATACTTGCTGAGCCCTGAGCCCTGAGTAGGACTACGGAAGCTAAATACAGATGACATGAAATGCAGTCATCTCCTCCTAAAAAAAAGAGGGGTATACTTAAGAAAACAGGCAAATAAAAGATTAAAACCAGGGACAGGCAGGATGGCTCAGTGAATAAATCTTGTCTCCCCGACATCAGGCCCCAGAACCTATATGGTGTAAGAGAACCAGTCCCTGAGGGTTTTCCTCTGATCTCCATGTACACAAGGTGACACCCTGTCCAAACACACTCACACAGACACAAATAAATGTAAAAAAACATTAAAACAGGCTGCAGTGATGGTTCAGTGGTTGAGGACCCAGGTTCAATTCCAAGCACCCACATGGCAGCTAACAACCATGTATAACTCCAGTTCCAGAGAATCCAATGCCCTTTTCTAGCCTCTGAGGACATTGCATGCACAGGTGAACTTACATGCGCTTACATATACATGCACTCATACACATAAAATATTTTAAAAAATACACGAAGTATACATGGGCTTACACAGTGGTAAGCACAGGATTCAGAGAGAAAAATGGGTAGTAAAGTGGCAGACTAAAAATGGAAGCAAGTTTGTGTGTGTCTGTGTGGTGAGGTGAATGATGTACACGAGTGTGGGGAGGCCAGAGGAAGATGTTGGGTGTCAGGCTCTATCATTCTCTGCCTTATTCCATTTTTTAAAAATGTGTATAAATGGGCTGGGTATGGTGGCGCAAGCCTTTAATCCCAGCACTTGGGAGGCAGAGGCAGGTGGATCTCTGTGAGTTCAAGGCCAGCCTGGTCTACATAGTTTCAGGACAGCTGGGACTACGGGGAGACCCTGTCTCAAAAAGACCAAAAAAAAAAAAAAAAAAAAGAAAAAAAGAAAAAAAAAACTGTGTTTTGCCTGTATATGTGTGTGTGTGTGTGTGCATTACGTGCATGATTGCCCCCACAGGCCAGAAGAGGGCTTTGGATCTCCTCCAGGTCCTCTGCAAGAGCAGCATATGTTCTTAACCACTTAGCCCTAGCCTTTTTCCTTTTGAGACCCGGTCTCTCACTGAACCTCTATAGAGCTAGGCTGGCAGCAAGCAAGTCCCCCAGATCCCTCTGTCTCGTTCTCCCGACGCCCCTGCTTTTTAGATGGCTGCTGGGATTGGGGGTTTTGTTGATGCAGCAAGAGCTTTCACCTACTGAGCCATCTCTTCAGTCCGCCCTCCCCCTCTCCCTTTTTGTTTGTTTGAGACAAGGTTTAACTGTGTAGCTCTAGCTTACCTAGAACTTGCCATGTGGACCAGGCAGGCTTCAAACTCATAAGGGTTCCACCTCTTGAATGTTAGGCTTAGAGTCATGCAGCACCAAGCCCGGCCTTTCCCCTAACTTTGTTTTTTAAAACACAGGGTCTCTAGGAAGCCCTGGCTGGCCTCAAATTCAGAGATCAGTCTGCCTCTGCCTCTGCTGGCATTAAAGGTTGCACCACACCCTGGACTTTGTGTGTATCTTGATCTAGCCCAAGCTGACCTGGAACTCACTCTATAGCCTGGAACTCATGTATTTCCTCCCACTTCAGCCTGCCAAATGCTGGAATCATAGGCCTGAGCCTGCTTTTAAGTTTTGGAAGATAAGTCTTACAGAAGGAACTATAGAAAATAAGCCGCTAAATTCAATCCTCGGCACTAGGTAAATGTGTCCTTAGTTTTTGGAAACAACTACCCAATTTGGTGGTGACTGGTTTATAAACACCGTGACGGATGTCCCACCGCACTGCTCAGGCCCAAAGACTTCCAAAGAATCCCCAGTTCAAGAAGCTGCCTCCAGACCCACACGACGAGTCGCAAGGCATGCTGGGGTTCGTAGTCTTTTTCCGCTACCAATTCCCGCGCCTACTTCCGGCAGGCGGAGGAACCAGCCGCGGATCCAATCAGGGAGCCGTAACGTGGCGGCTGCCTGCAAGCCCGCGGCCCCACCCCCGGCGGCGCCTACCACCCGGAGCCGCGGCGCAGGGGGGACACGGCCCAATCCCTCGGCAGAGAAGCCGCTCGCAGACCCGGTCCCCCCTGCACCCCGACGGCTTGGCGGAGCTGCAGGTCCGCACCCTCTTCCGGTCCTGGATGCCCGGGCCGCGCTCGCTGCTTGCGGTGAATGCTGCGCCTTTCGGAGCGCAACATGAAGCTGCTGTTCGCTGCCGCCCTCATCGTGGGCTCGGTCTTCTTCCTTTTGCTGCCGGGACCCTCCGTGGCCAACGACAAGAAGAAGGGGCCCAAAGTCACGGTCAAGGTCTGGACTCCCCTCACCCGCCCTGCCAAGCGAGGCCTGCCTTCCACCGCCGGTGGTGCGGGCACGCTCCGCGGGGCCGAAGTCCATCTGGCCCCCGAGCTCCGACCTGGGCATCCTTGCCCTGGCTTCAGCCCGGCCCTAGAGTGACTGTGAGGTGGTGGCGCTGGGGTCGCCCTACCCACGCACACTTGAGAATGACCTGGACTCCTGCAGCCCCCGCCCTGCTCGATTTCCAGCTGCCGGCATACCTTGCCAGTGTGCCTGGGAGATGGTGAAAGATAACGCCTGCCAAATCCTAAATCCTTTTACTTTAGCTGCTTCTACTGTACTGTGCTTTGTAGTCTGCACAGTAAATGTAAACTTGCAAGTGTGAACTTTGAGATCATTTTCCTTATGTAATTCCCCCCTTTTATTGTCAGTTTCTGTAATCTGGATTCATTATTTAGAACACATTGTTCTGTAGTCTAATGTAAACTTTTAAAAAAATTTATGTATATTATGTGTATTGCCGGCATATGTAAGTGCACTCATGTCGTGCAGTGTCCGTGGAGGTCAGAAGAGGGCGTCGGAGTTGTGGACAGTTGTTATCCGCCAAGTGGGTACTAGGAATCAAAATCGGGACCGCTGCAAGAGCAGCTAATATTCTCAACTACTGAGCCATCTCTCCATCCCCAGTGTAAACTTTTTTTAAAAAACTTATTAGATTTATTTGTTCGGGAGGAGGGCTCACATGACACACTGCCTGTGTAGAGGTCAGAGGACAACTTGCTGGAGTTGATTGTTTCCTTCCATCATGTTCCCAGGCATGGAACTCAGGTCATCAGGCTTGGCTGCAAGCATGTTTACCTCCAAAGCGTCAGGGTAGCTCGGAATCATTTTTGGTGGGTGTTGGGGGTAGGAGAGTGGAGCAAGCTGGATGTGACACATCTCTGATCCCAGCTATTTGGAAGGCGGAAGCAGGACTACAATTTAATCAGACCCTTTCTCAAAATATTAATGACTATAGATATTAATTTAGTGGTAGAACTTGCCTAAAAGCCATTGGGGTCAGGAACTGTGGAACTTTCACTATATTCTCACAGGGTGTTTGTCCCCACCAAAATCAGACCCCAGAACAACTGCTTTCAGCTCTGTTTTCTCTCCCACCCTCACCATCTCTTCTTGGCCCCTCTATATCAAGGCCCTTTTAAAAGGCTATTTGAAATATTCTTTTTCTTAGGTATATTTTGATCTGCGCATTGGAGATGAACCTGTAGGCCGGGTTGTCTTTGGACTTTTTGGAAAGACTGTTCCAAAAACGGTGGATAATTTTGTTGCCTTAGCCACAGGAGAGGTAAGTGGCTGCTGCAGAGGCAATCAGCTCCATGTTATTGGAATGGAAGCAGCCTGGACTGCAGAGTGCTGTCCATCTATAGCAGTAGCACTCACTGATGACTGACTACTCTGGGGACCAAATATTTTCATATATTAAGAATAAAGGGCTGAGGAGACTTGATCCCAGAATATGGCTTATAGGTTTTTGTTTGTTTTTTAAATATTTTATTTTATTTTTAAGTGTATGAGTGTATTGCCCACATGTAACAAAGTGCACCCATGTTGTGCAGTGCCTTGGAGGTCAGAAGAGGGTTTTGGATCCTCTGGAACTGGAGTTAAGGACAGTTTGTAGCTGCCATGTGGGTGCTTGGGAATTGAACCCAGGTCCTCTGCAAGAGCAGTCAGTGCTCTTAACCACCGAGCCATCTCTCTAGCCCATGGCTTACAGTTTTAAAGAAACCAATGTTCTGTAATGAAGTTTATATTTTAACTTCCTGTTCCATTTCGTGCATCTGTTTTGTTTTGTTGTTCCTAAGACAGTCTCATGTAGCCCCTGGCTGGCTCTGAACCTGATGGATAGCCTGGGATGACCTTGAACTTCTGATACTCCTGCTTCTACTTCCTGAGTACTGGCTGGGATTACAGGCATCACTGTTGTACCCAGTATATGCAGTGCTACGGACGAGTCCCAGGGCTTCGTTCATGCTACTCAAGCACTGTATCAACTGAGATATGTCCCCAGTCCTTGCACTGTCTTTTTATGATGTGAAGGAAATAGAGGGAAGCGAGGGCATTACTTGGCCTAGGATTGGATAGTTTTGGAATTGAAAATGGGCAGGGGGAGCTGGAGTCGTAGTCCTTCCCAGGTGTGCTCCATGCCTGGCCATGATAGCTGGTCACTCAGCACATTAAATGCTAAATCTATATAAGAAAGAGCTGTAGGCTGAATTTCTGCATGGCCTGTGTGACTTCTGTGTCCTGCCTCATGCTACCTCCTTACTTTTTCATCCTTTTTTCTAGAAAGGATTTGGCTACAAAAACAGCAAATTCCATCGTGTCATCAAAGACTTCATGATCCAGGGCGGAGACTTCACCAGGGGAGATGGCACAGGAGGTAATGTCAAGACCTCTGAGCAGAAGAGTCTGTGGAAGACTCCAATGTGGGATGGTCAGGCTGCCTCCAGCAGACAAGTCCTCTTCCTTCCCCAGCTCCAGAGGCTGGCCTCTGTCCTGTATTGAGATTAGCTGCACACTTCTTTGCAAAGAGAACCCAGTACAAAGGAGAGGGAGGAATGGGGGGTCCAGGGGATTGAGATCTCTCCTAGATGCCCAGGCCTATAGCCTGTATCTCTCTCTCTCTCTCTCTCTCTCTCTCTCTCTCACACACACACACACACACACGCACACACACACACACACAGAAATGTAAAGGGCTGGGGCAGGAGAGATGGCTCAGTGGTTAAGAGCACTGACTGCTCTTGCAGAGGACCTGGGTTCAATTCCCAAGCACCCACATGACAGCTACAAACTGTCTTTAACTCCAGTTCCAGGGGAATCTGAAACTCTTCTGATCTCCATGGCATTGCACGACATGGGTGCACTTACTTACATGCAGGCAATACACTCATACACATAGAATAAAAATAATAAAGTGGTGGCGCACGCCTTTAATCCCAGCACTTGGGAGGCAGAGGCAGGCGGATCTCTGTGAGTTCAAGGCCAACCTGGTCTGCATAGTGAGTTCCAGGCCAGCTGGGGCTACAGGGAAACCCTGTCTCAAAAAGACCAAAAAAATATAATAAAATAAAATGTAAAGGGCCAGTGAGGTGGCCAGTAGGTAAAGGTACCTGGTGCCAAGCCTAATGACCTGAGTTTGGACCCTGGGCCCCAAACATTGGAGGGAGAGAACTGACTTTTGCAAGTTTTCCTCTGGCTTCCACATGTGCCCTATGGCACAAGTGCACCCCCACATACAGTAAATAAATGTAATTTTAAATAAGTAGATAAATAAAAGTGAAGAACTCAAGCAAATATAGAGGCACACACCTATAATCTAGCACTTAGGATGTAAAGGCAGGAGGCAAGTTCAAGTCCAGCCTGGGCTATATAAGCCCTTGTCTCAAAAAATAGCAAAAAAATGGTGGACATGAAACTTAACTATCTGCAAGGCAGCTAGATGGAAACTGGGGTAAAAGAGTAAACATAAAATTGTTTTATGTCATAAAGATTACTCTATACATTTCTACCAAAAAAAGTGAATTCTTCCTTGTGAGTTGGAGTTGCTTGTATGTTGGGGAAGGAAATGGAGCTAAGGATGTAGAGTAGGGATTTTTGAATAGCAGTGATGGAAATCCAGAGATTGCCTGAGACTTCAGAGGAAGATCCCTAAATAGGAGGTTGTAGCAGTGCCCCAACCAGGAGTCTCCATCAGGGGCAGAGGTGAAACATGAGCCAACTCACCCACCCCATCATCTGGTCCAGTCCTCCTGTTTCTCTGCCTTCTACCTGCCACAGGTCAACCTCAGGCCAGAGCTGTTCCTGGCTTAGGGCCTTCCTGTGGAACCTAGGGGTAAACACAGTAGATGTGTTGAAAGCAAAGGGATTTATAACAAGTGAATTGAAAGGCCTTGGGCCAAAGAAAGTGACCCTTTTAAAAAAAAAATTTTTTTTTTTTTTTTGGAGACAAGGTCTCACTATGTAGCCCTGGCTGATTAGGAACTCACTACATATGATCTTAGGTTGGTCTCAAACTCATAGACATATCCACCTGCCTCCTGAGTGCTAGGATTAAAGGCTTATGCTACCACACCTGGCTAAAAGTGACATTTTTTTAAAAAAAATTAACATTTTAACCTTTTTTTAATGGGGGTGTGTGTGGATACATATGCCATTGCATGTGTTAAAGTCAGAGGGCATCTTGTGTGCTGGGGGTCAGTTCTCTCCTACCACGTGGTTCCTTTCATCATTGTGGGTCTTGGGATCAAACTCAAGGTGTCAGGTTTGACAGCAAGCACTTTTATTTACTGTGCCCTCTTGCCAGCCCAAGAAAATGGCTGTTAGTCTGATGGGCATTGAGAAAAGTTTCCCCTGATACCAGCTTTGGAATCAGAATCTTGGAAGGGCTGTGGACCTGGCCCCAGACCCCACAGGGACAGACATTGAAACACATTCATAGGTATTTTTTATTTTATGCCCAGGTTCTCCAGAACCCAGATGGCAGCCCGGTTTTTCCTCCCTCTTCACTACTATCTCTGCCATGCTTCTCTGCAGCTGTACCTGTCTTGTGATCTTAGGAAGGCAATATGGTTGGCTTTGGTAGCCCTCTTCCAAAGGGTTCCTCAACTCTTTCCCCAGTCAGTGTACTATACAACACCAAAGCATCCGTCCATCCAGGCCCCAGCAAAGGATAGCTGGTAACATGTGCCTTAACTGACAGCCATAAAACTGTATCCTCAAAGTAACCCAACCTGTAAGCTAGTCACTTAGCCTGGCCTCATTCTTCCCTGGGTCACAACCTAAGTGGCTTGGCTCTAAGGGCAGAAGATAGGGACAGTTTTTATGTCCCTTTGAGTCCCATGGATCCTCACAAAGATAGCCCCAGTGCAGAGCTCAGGAGGGTTGAGACCCACGGAATGAACACACAAACCTGAGGCACTGGATTCTAAGAACTGCTGGCCAGGGTGAATGCAGATTTGACAATGAGGGGGTGCAGGAAGAAGAGTAAATGGGGAGCACAATTTTGTAAGTACTACAAATGATGTTTAGATGATCCCAGCTCCCTGACCTGTTCTGACTCTTCCCAGGAAAGAGCATTTACGGTGAGCGCTTCCCAGATGAGAACTTCAAGCTGAAGCACTACGGTCCTGGCTGGGTTAGCATGGCCAATGCAGGCAAAGACACCAACGGCTCCCAGTTCTTCATTACTACAGTCAAGACATCATGGCTAGATGGCAAGCATGTGGTTTTTGGCAAAGTTTTAGAGGGCATGGTAAGTTCCCAGGTGGGGGCTAAACCTGGCAGGGATCCAGCACAGATGGGCAAGGGGCTCATGTGTTAAGTCCCTTTCCCAAAGATACCTAAATAAGACAGATTTAAACCAATGCTTGTTCCTCCTAATGTGGCATAGTGGTGTGGAGAATAAACAGCCTGACCTTGGACATGTCCATGGTCCCAGTTAGGAAGCTGAGGCAAGAGTTACCACTTGAGCACAGGAGACCAGCATGAGAACCTGGGCAGCATAAGTGTGGTTATTGGGGATTGATATATGCCTATTCCTTGGGCTTTTGTCTGAACCTCACCTAGCATGTATGAGGTCCTGGGTTTGATCCCCAGCACCAAAAGAATAAAAGATGCCCAGCCTATATCTCCATACCCTATTCTAAGTTCTTCTAGGCCTCAGGAAGACCCAGCCAGAAGACCTTGTTGAATCTATAGCTGGTCCTTTTCCATCACTCAGTCTGGGGTGCATAGGCTCCCACCCCTAAGCTCTGGGATCATCTAAACATCATTTGTAGTACTTACAAAATTGTGCTCCCCATTTACTCTTCTTCATGCACCCCCTCATTGTCAGATCTGCATTCACCCTGGCCAGCAGTTCTTAGAATCCAGTGCCTCAGGTTTGTGTGTTCATTCCGTGGGTCTCAACCCTCCTGAGCTCTGCACTGGGGCTATCTCCCAGTAGTGGGCCTCCTCAACCACCCTGTACCCTTGCTCCTGTCTTTTCCAGGATGTGGTACGGAAGGTGGAGATCACCAAGACAGACAGTCGAGACAAGCCCCTGAAGGATGTGATCATTGCAGACTGTGGCAAGATTGAAGTGGAAAAGCCATTTGCTATTGCCAAGGAGTAGGGCCTCAGGACCTACCTCATCCCTACAAACAACTGTGCAGGCCATTGCCCTCATGGGGTGAAGATAGCCAGTCACAAGGCTCTGAGCTGTGCTGGCCCTAGTGCTTCCATTTGATGGGGTGGACCCACACTCCTCACATTCCACAGGCCTGGTTTTATATCAAACTTGTACTAATGTTGACCAATAAAGTGGTTTTTTTTTTGTTTTGTTTTTTTATAATGTGTATGGGCTGTGTTTGGGGATATGGTAGCACTTGCTTTGAGCTTCCCCAACATTTCTGGGGTTCCCCAGTGGTGATGGATATATGCCCATTCCTTGGGCTCCTGTCTGAATCCGTATCCAGGTGCTACCCACAAATCATCAGGTAGGGGCTTTCTGGCCAGCTACTATGCCTTACTCTAGCTTCCCTGCCACCTGTCGGCTAGGCTAGGCATTCTACTCAGACCTTCTCATAGCCTACCTCGAAGATGGCGTCTCATCTCCTTAGCCTTGGCTCCTGGGCTCTAAGGATATGAGTTCTACCAGCTGCAGCTATCAGTGCAAGCCAAGTTCAGAGCCTTGAGTGGGATTGGGCACAGCTGAGCCTCAGTTAAATCCTGAGTCCAGTCTAAGGGAGGACCCAGTTCCTTGTATGGAGTTCAGACATCTGAGGCACATAACTATTCTGACAAAGTGACCCAAAACCTGGGCTGATCAGGGCATTGGTGGAGGAGCAGGGTGGTAGTCAGCCTTTGTCTGGGCTGAAGCTGGACTAGAGTTGAAGCCATAGAGACCCTGGAGCACACCGTTCACCACCATTTCAGGAAGAGATTCTGTGAGAAGAAGCAAAGGAGAGGGCTGCATGTGACAGGCCTGGCCTCAAGCCTGCAGCTCTAAGCTGCCCAAAGGAGCCCCTGCCAAGGCAGAATATAACAGCTCTCAACCCAAAATGAAGCACTGTTGGCATTCCACAGACTACGTTCTGTTCGCACATCAGCTTGGTGAAGATGGGAAAGAGACCAGGGAAACCAACCTTATTGGGATACTGTCTCAGAAGTAGGTTACAGGGCTACACAAGCAGTAGGTGAAGTTCCCAATGGACAGTAGGAGGGAGATGCTGCTTAGCGATTCTGTAGTACTAACAAATACTCCACCCTGGGAGCTACATCCCAAATGTCAGGGCCATGTCTCTCACCTGGGGAAGGGGTGTAAATGTAGGGATCTATGCAGAAGCCAATGACAGGCCGGTGGTGCAGCTGGGAGCTGGGAATAAAAAAAAGAGAGAGCATGGGGACATTGAGATTACTGGGTAAGGCCCCACAGAGGGTGAACACAAAAAGCTGGAAAGAACTAGAAGACAGGCCGCAGGACTGCCTCCTAGCTTGTGGCCAGCAGGGGGCAGCAGGCACCGAGGGCAAGGTAGGGCTTTGACTTGCCTGCTGTCACTAGGCAGGAATTCCCCCAGGGCGCTGAAAAGAAGAGAGACACTGTAAGCAGCTGGAGGATGCCCAGGAGAGGTGAGGAGGGGGTGGAGACAGAAAAGCCCAGGGGACCTCTGCTTCTATTTTGTAACAAGCCAAGTTCCGGAGGTGGAGGCGTCTAGGGTAACCAAAGACATCCCCAAATCAGCTTCTCCACCAGGGTCAAGAAAATTGATGTGGAGGTCATGTCTCAGAAGTACAGAGAACCAGGCCAGGGCCTGGCACATGTGAAAAGCAAAAGAGCTTGCTCTTAAAACCCCTTTCATCTCCCTGTGAGAGCCCTTGCCACACCTCAACGCTGGCCATCCTTACCTCCAACTGCTGGCCTTGGGGTCTGTGGGGAAGTGCCGTAGTCTCAGGAATTCTAATAATTCCTTGGGCACATCCTGATTCAGGTATAGGATACCCTAGAAAGGAAGACAGAGGAAGTCTGTAATCAGACCCAGTCAATAATTGCACAGACAGGGTGCAAATGAAAATTCAAGGTCCTTTGTTCCAAAATAATTAAGAATTTCAAGTTAGTAAGAGCAAAATATTAGACCAAACTTGGGGCCCAGTGTGGACTGCAAAGATCGTGGCCCAAAGTGAGCAGGCCTGTAACCTCATATCACAAATGGAGGCGCTAACCCACACCCTATCATAAGAGCAACATAGGATCTCACCCTGGAAGGGAAAGGTACAGCTTTTATCTGCCTGCTGTCATTCAACACTTTCATAATCCAGAGAGAAATGTTCGCACTCACTACTGTTTGAAAGCTTGATGTTTGGGGTAGTGAATAACACCCTCAAGAAGTGGGAGCCCTCGCATACCCCATCTCTGTCTGGGTCACCACTGGTCCTGCATGGTGGGTGCAACCAAATGTGCCCTGAGCATACCTGGATATAGGCCTCCAAGCCCTGCCGGCGCTGTTCCAACCCTTTGGTCCTCCAATTGGGCAGGCGTTTCGAGGGGAAGTCCGGCACTTTGTACAGCTTCTTGATCTGTCGGGAAGGTACGGAGGTGAGAACACAGAATCCAACAGTCTTCAAGTCTACTTCACTCTAGCCCAGAGCTCTCTCCAATCTTCGCTACACGCCCCTTCAGGCCCTAATCTGGGACAGACCCTCGCGAGAGGGGGTTGGCCCAGTGGTGACATGCCTGAGGGTGGGAAGGACGCGCACAGACAAGGTCAGCGAGAGCCAAGCTGGGATCTGGCCACGGTGCCTTCTCTGCGAGGGGCCCTGCAGCCATTGGGTAGTTTATCCAGGATCTGCACCCTCCCGCGGCTGGGGCAATAATAGGGGAGGCTAACCAGAAGCTAAGCTAAGTCCAGAGCTCCTTCGCCCGCCACCCAAGGGCTAGGCAGGGGTCGGTGGGTAGTCCGCGCAGCCTCACCCGCTTGTGTAGCGCGTGGAACTCGCTGTAGCGCCTTGACACCGTGTGTCTGCGCCCGCAGCACAGCACCTCCACTTGGAACACCTGGCAGGCAGAGGGGAGGGGGAGGCCGGTCGGGAGGATGCAGCAGGACCGGCGCCCAGAGATGCGCCCACTTTCCAGGGCTCAAAAGGCACAAAGCAGACTTGGCGTGTCGCGGCTCTCAGGGGAACCCTCCCTCGCCGCACGCATACCTGAAAGAAAAGGCTGTCGGGCCCGCCCCTCTGCTCCAGGCGGTCCCTCTAGAGCCCGGACCACGATCCGAGGGATTGGCAAATCCAAGCAACCCCGAAACCCTCGCGTCGAGGCTCCCCGCGCCAACCTTCCTCGCCCCCCGCCCCCGGGTGCCGACGCCCTAGCCCGGAATGCTGGGTCCCCATTGCGCTCGCCTGGGGCCGGAGTCGGGGGGTGGGGGGGGAGTCAGCGGGTCCCCGCCCCCGTCTCCATTCAGGGGCCCTGCTCACCATGTGGCCTTTCTCTGGACTCTGCCTGGTCCCTTCGGCCTCGGGCCCCACGGAGGGGATGTGAACTTCCAGCATCCGCGCCCTGGCCCTGCCTCAGTCTCTCCTTACGCACGCTCTTCGGAGCCCGAACTCCCAGGAGTATACAGCCCGCCCTGCCGGGCCACCCCGCCCTCGGGCCCAGGCTCCGCCCTTGGCTCACAGGCCCCACCCCTTCCCCGGCCTCGACTCGCAGACCCCGCCTTCGACCCCAGGCGTTCCCAGGGGCGGTGTTGTCCTGAGGCTGGAAGATTAGACGTTGCGGGAGGCTGGACTGGGCCGCCACCCCCTCAGTCTAGAGAAGCCTTGGTGCCAGGGGGAGGAACTCTCGGCCGAGTCATCCGTTTGTCAAACATTTACCGAGCGCCCACTGCCTGCCAGGAACGCAGCTGAGCTGAAGTTCCACCTGGTCTTTGTTAAGCGCCTACTGAGCACCCGGCCGGGTGGCGCCAGGCGTGGGCGGAGTCTGTCCCAAGAACCAACCACCGAGATCCGTGCTCTCCTTGTGTCTGGGAACCTAACCTCCCCATCCTCTCCCTTCTTTCAGCCTGGCTCCTGGTAGCACTGATTTGAAACCCACCTGGGTGAAGCTGGGACCCAGGCTGGCTTTGATGTCCAGCTTCTGCAGCACCCACAGACCGTTCATTTCTTCCATTTATCCACCTATTACTACGTAACAACACTAACTTGCTTCAAACCAGTTTGTGGGGAAGAAGCAGTTTAGAAACCCAGGCCCTGCTTTGCAAGTCAGACAGCCTGATTAGAAGGAACTATGTGGACTTCGGCACGTCTGCAAAACAGAGATAATGTGCCTCATTCCTTTCAGTGTAAAATTAGAAAATTAGGCGGGGTGGCGGAGGTCTGGAGTCCCAGGTAACTGTGAGGCTGAGGCAGAACTGCTTGAGTCCAGGAATTCCAGGCTAGCCTGGACAACTCAGGAGACCTCTCCCCCCCGCCCCCCCCAAAAAAAACCTGAGATGACACACGTTAAGACCTAGTGGAGGAGTATGTGCTGATAAATGGCGGCTTCCTTATGGGATGAACAGGTGGTAATGCATAGATACTAGATGTAGGTAGGTACCAGGGCAGTGGTTAGGGAAGAGTGACTGTGGGGTGTGGTGGAGGTGGCACCAGGCTGCTCTTGCCCACCCTGCTGGCCTTCCTTGGAATGTAGTAGGATTTTAATCCAGCACTCTCTGCTGTGTGGTAGAAATAGCCCCAGACCCCTCAGCTGGAGGGGTGATGCTGCGACCATTCAGCAGCAGTGACAAGACTTTTTTTTTTTTTTTCTTTTTCTGAGGCTAGGAGGTCTCCCTGCAGTCCTAGCTGGCCTGGAACTTGCTGTGTAGACCAGGCTGGCCTCAATCTCACAGAGATCCACCTGCCTCTGCCTTCAGAGTGCTGGGATTAAAGATGTGCCCAGCACATCTAACTTGATTTGTGTGTGTGTGTGTGTGTGCTATCTTTAAAAAAAAAATCTTATTTTTATTTTATGTGTATGAGCGTATGGCCTGCATGTATATAAGTGCATCTGTGTCATGTTATGCCAGAGGGTGTCAGACCCCCTAGAACTGGAGTTACAGATGGTTGTTGGCTACCATGTGGGTGCTGAAAACCAAACCCAGGTTTTCTGCAAGAGCAGCCAGTGCTTTTAACCACTGAGCCATCTCTCCAGCTCCAGGGTCCTGTCTTTTAAAAGTTCATACCTGGTAGGAGATGTTGGGTTGGGGCCAGGAGCAAAGTATCTGTCCTAAAGGCTGCATTGGGAAACTTCCCTCTCCTGCTACTGTTGAAGCACTAAGGTGCTCCAAGGATGACTCCAATACCATGTCCTACACTTCTTCCTCCAAATTCCATGTACAAGGGGCCCAGATTCAGGAAGCTGAAGCTTCCAGGATAGAGATAGAGATGTGGTCTCTGGAAGGGAAATGACCCACTGTGAGGAGAAGTGCTGTGGTTTCATTTCCTCTCTGGGATGTTAATGCCCCTTGACTCAGGGACCTAGTTCTCCTCAACCTTCAGGGCCTCTCCAGTGCTCAGAGCACCACCTAATAACCTCTGTCTCCTGGCCTGTTTTTCCTTCTTTCTTTCAATTCAAGGCCCATTCTCTACCCCACAACACAAACTGCCACTAGAGTATCTGCTTTGCCGTCCAAGTGCACTTGGAATCAGACCACTCTCCCCACAGTCTATGGAGGGCTTCAGCCCCTCCTCCATCTCCCACCTCATTTCTACTTCCTCTCCCTCATGACCAGGCTCTGGCCACTGTGACCTTCCAGTTCTTCCAACTTTATAAGTTCTTTCTTGCTTCAAGGCCTTTGTACTTGCCATTTTTTTTGGTTTTTTGTTTGTTTTTTTACCTGGGACTATCTTCCTCTGGTGAGCTTATCCTTGAATTCTGAGCTGGAAACTCACCTCCTCCAAGAGGTTTCCTTCCTGCCCTTACCTTATCATATCGCTTTATGTATGCACTTAATAGTCTGCAATCGTTTGTTGTTTCCCTAGTATAGGTCTTTGGAAGGGTAGAAGGTTGAGACACCCATTTTAAGAGTCATGTTAACATTCCTGTAACAAAAGACAGATTAACAAGAGAAAAGCGCACATACATGCAAACAGACACAGAAACACAAATAAAAATAAAATAAATCTAAAAAAAAGAGAGTACTGCCTATAGCCTAATCAAAGTTTTTGTGTGTGAATTCTTCAGAAATGATTGTCCAAAGGCCTAGGGCAGACTGTTTTGGGGAGTTAGGACTGTAGCTCAGTGGTATAGCATACTGAGACCCTGGAGTCAATCTCTAGCACTGCAAGGCAAGCAAAAACCATTCCATATCTATGCTTAGGTTTGTTGAGGAATAGATAGCCATGTGGAAATGTGATTTGACTAAAGAAAATGATGTAATGCTAATTGAGAAAGGGAAAACCCAGCCAAGGCCTGTCTGTTCAGATTCTTCTCTTGTGTGTGTGACATTCCTTCCTCTTGGATGTAGGGCAGGACCCTCTGGAATGAGAATCTTCTAGGGAGAAGAGAGGATGACCTTTCTAGATTTTGAGGCTAGCTGTAAGGGAGAGGAAGGACTTGCTGTGGCCTATGCTGGCCTTGATTTCCCAAGTGCTGGAATTACAGATGTGCGCTACCATGCACAGCCTGGGTTCGGTTTTATTTTTCTTTTGGTTTTTTTGAGACAGGGTCTCCCTATAGTCCCAATTGGCCTGGAACTTCTTATGAAGACCAGGTTGGCCTTGAACTCACAGAGATGCACCTGCCTCTGCCTCCTGAGTGCTGGGATTAAAGGCCTGTACCACCATGCCTGGCTGGGTTCTGATTTATTTATTTATTTTTTTTGGTCTTTTTTGAGACAGGGTCTCCCTGTAGCCCCAGCTGTCCTGGAACTTGTAGACCAGGCTGGCCTCGAACTCACAGAGCTCCGCTTGCCTCTGCCTCCCGAGTACGGGGTTAAAGGTGTGCGCCACCACGCCTGGCTTGGGTTCTTATTTTTTAAAAAGATTTATTTACTTTTATTTTATATGTATGAGTATTTTGCCTGCATGTTTATATGTGTACTGCATGTATACTACCTGAAGAGGCTAGAAGAAGGAATGGGAACCCCTGAAACTGGAGTTACAGATGTTTGTGGGTGCTAGGAACCAAACCAGGATCCTCTGCAAGAGCAGCCAGTGCTCTTAACCACTGAGCCATCTCTCCAGCCCTGATTTTTTAAAATTTTAATTATTTTTTTATGTGTGTGTGTATGTGTGTGTATGTATGTGTGCACATAAGATGCATGTTGATGCACATGCCACAGCAGGTGTGTGGAGGCTGGAGGACAGCTTTGTGGAGTCAGTCCCCTCCTTTCACCTTTTACCTGGGTTCCAGAGATTGAAACCAGGAAGCCAGGTTTTTGTGGCAAGCACCTTTTACTGTCTGAACCATCTAGCCAGCCCTGGGTTCTGCTGATGTTTAGAATCTACGTAGGAGAAGAGAAATTCCAGTTTCTATGCCCTTCCCCTCCAAGTTTCTCTGCTCTCTCTCTCTCTCTCTCTCTCTCTCTCTCTCTCTCTCTCTCTCTCTCTCTCTCTGAAATAAATTAAGGACCATGCTAAACACAGCATACACACACTACCACAGAGCTGCACACAGCCCCAGACTTCTTTAGTTCAAAGTACTGAGCATGTAAGACACCATGCTTTGGGTATATTATGTATTATGTCCTGATCCCCAACATGCAGTAATTAACATTTGTTCACTGAAAAACTGTATGAATGAATAGGTGGTGGGAAGAAGGAGCAGAGGCTATGGAAGGGAGAGAAGGCCTGGGAGAGAGATGCATAGGGATCAGGGGTTGCTGAAGCTGAAGGCTGGCACCTCTTCTCACCTTCTGGGTTTGATCTCTCTCTCTCTCTCTCTCTCTCTCTCTTTCCCTCCCTCCCTCCCTCCCTCAGCAGATTGGCCATTTTACTCACTCAATTTTCAGGTATTCACTTTTTAAAATTTCTTACTGCACTTCTTTATTTACTGTGGCGGATGTGATGGAGAGGGGCACACATACCATAGCAGGCATATGGAGGCCAGAGGACAACTCATGGAAGGTTCTCTCCTTCCACCATGTGCGTCTCAGGGATCAAACTCACATCAGGCTTAGCAGCAAGTGCCTTTTCCCACTGAACCATTTTACCAGCCCAATTTTCAGGTGAATAGTCTTTACCAGTTACAGAATGAGGATCAATGCAACTGACACATAAAACATCCGTGGTAAACCTGCTGCTTCCAGTTCCTCAGGGTTCTTTAGAACAGAAGTGCTGATCCAAATGAAGAAAATGAGATCCTTTTTCTGGAGGGGTGTGGTGGTACACACCTGTAATCCCAGCACATGGGAGGTAGAGGCAGAAAGATCAGGAGTTCAAAGTCATCCTCAATTACATAGTGAGTTTGAGACCAGACTGAACTATGTGAGACCCTGTCTCAACAGACAAACAACTCCCTTTCTCAGGTCCTTAACTTAGAGGTATTATTTACAATGTCTTTGGGGAGACAGAACAAGTTATGGGGAATATTTTCCTGCAAAGAATAATACATGGCATGATGTAAACACTAAAACAGATATTACAAAGAAGAG